CAGTTGCAAAGTTAAAGATAATTTATTGTTATAGTTGGTCAGATTTCAGTAACTGGAAAGTTTAACTTCTTATGAAATAAGGAAGAAAGGAGTGTGATGCTACTCTTGCACCCCAGCTGATATCTTATAATAAATCCTATGACATCTGATTTGAAGCATGGCTTTTAAAAAGTAGGCATTTGCTGGACCTGACTGGTTTTGTGAGAGAAAATGGGCAAGATCCATTTTCACATTTTATTTTGACAATGCGTTTTACATCAGCTTAACAAAACTCACCTTGATCTGATATGCGTTGTTCCTAAACAATGGTTTTGAAGTCATGTGGACTTTAGGCAGGGTAATTGCACATCAAATTCATGAAAAAAAAAGTCAATTGGTTTGTTACCAATTGAGTGAAGGGGGTAGGATTTGATTTTATTATGTTTCTATATCTGATTGCCAGGAAAAACTGAATGGCCAGTAGTCAATTGTTCCCCCCCCCCAAATCCAATAGTTTGAAGTAATAACAGCTGGCTCCTTTTCTATTCATAATAAATGCTCATAAAACAGAATCTTTTTGCCAGGCACAGCTCATTTATAAAATATCCTTCATTCAAACAACAACAACAACAACAACCAAGCAAACAACATAAATATTTATCAGTCATACATTGGCTTTGACAGCGTGTTGGTTGCCCCTTGCATCTTTCATTGTTATTTTTACTGTTTACACATGTATTTGTTTTTATGCCTTGCTAGCTGCCCAGAATTATTTGATTAAGATAGACTATATCCATTTGCTAAATAAATAAATAAAAATTTGCATTGGTTATATGACAAACCAATGGCAGGCTACGTTCCCATGTGCTATATTTGCTGAGGCCATTTTCTGAACTGCTCTGGAACTTATTGTTGTTAGAGAGAGGTGTGTGTGTGTTCCTAAAAAATACAGCCTTAGCAAAACAATTAGTTGGGGAGGAAAAAGGAACTTAGAGAGAATTAAGGACATTTTTTATGCTTTCTCTAAGAAGGCAGCAAAGGTAAGAATGCGAAGAGAAGAGGCAAGGGCTCAGAAGCTGTTTGGAACCTGTTTTTATGGCTGAAGAAGGAGAACAGAAGAAGCACTGAACTGAAAGTCAGGAATTCCTGGGGAAAGTGGGTAGAAAATCTTGATTTAGATCAGTGGTTGTCAACCTGTGGGTCGGGACCCCATTTGGGGTTGAACGACCATTTCACAGGGGTCGCCAAACAAGACTGTCTGCCATTTTTCCCCCCTTTGGCCATGCCCCTGGCACCCGGTGATGTATAAGTGGTTGGGGGTCACCACAACATGGGGAACTGTATTATGGGGTCGCGGCATTAGAAAGGTTGAGAACCACTGATTTAGATGAAAAAGAAAAGAAAAAGAAAAAGAAAGCTCTGGGGCCAGTTTGGGAGTTGCTAGGGGCCAATTGAAGAGCAAGTCAGGAAGAAAACCTCTGAGCGATCCTGGGGAATATTAGTGGCTACATTATTTATAGCAAATGGACAGCCGAGAAGGAGGTTAAAAACCCTTCTTGACTACTAGTCTCTTGTATCTGTGTTAAATTGTGCATGTCTCTCATTCCCTAGAAATGTTGTTGATGAATTAGGAGTTTAGAGAAGAGCAGCAGAAGCTATTAACGGGCCGCAGAGGATTGATGAGGTACATTACTAAAGGGATGGCAGATACAGGCTAAATGATGACTAAAAAGATTGCTTACAAGTGTCTGGAGAGTGTAAAATGATAGAGAAGGTACGCTCCCCTCCCCCCCTGCCCACCTCCAATGAATTTAAGCTTTTGTAGCCAAAGTGCACCCATTTTTTTAAACAAATTAAGATAGAATACTTTTTTTATCTGAAAAAAAGTACTGTTATTGGCCAAACTTTCCCTGTTCCTGTCATGTACATGTTTGACTTTAGACAGGAGAGCTAAAATTTATTTTGTGAAGGATGGAAATTGTAATCCAATGGAGCTGGAGGGACATCAGGCTGGGAAAGGCTCTTTAAGAATGTTTAAGAGTATATTGTAAATTACCCAACTTATTATGTGTTTATTATTAGCTGCAGATGTGTTTAGAGAAATGACTTGTGAAAAGGTATGGATCGTTCCCAACCAAGTAATTCTGCCCGTCCCATGAACTGCGCTGAGCAGTTCACTCCATTCACAAGATGATGCATGAGAGATCCAGGGAAAAGCAAAAAAAGATATATATATATATATATATATATATATATATATATATATATATATATATATATATATATATATATATATATATATTGGTAAGGCTTACTACTGAGACAAACAGCTGCACCCTTCAAAGTGGTGCTGAAAGCTTCTTTGCTCCGTTTATTTCAAGTTAAGCCACACACATACAAATATTTGTCTTCATTTGACATATGAGGAAATTTGGAAAAGACGTTAAAGTAAACAGATTCTTTTGCTGCATCCTTATTCCCTTTCAAGTTTGCATGATTCTACCGAAAGCAACTCAGCAGACCCTCAGAGTGGGAAAGGATTCTACCCCTGCAGAAAAAATGGTCTGGGCTGGTTCCAGATCTTGCTGAGAATCAACACAGACATTTGCTCTGGGTGGCTGAGTAGTGGTGGTGGTGGTGGTGGTGGCAGGAAGCTCCCTCCCTCGCTTTCGTATTTAGTGTGTGATTGCGTGGTTTTCCATTCAGACGTGGCTGACAGGGCAAAGAGGTCCCCCCAAACCCCATGAAATATAAATGAACTTGTGATGGTGTGGGATGAAAGACGGACTCTGCCTGAGGTTGATATACCGTATATGCCGGCGTATAAGGTGACTTCTGCGAGCTCTAAAATCGGCGCCAAAGATGGGGGTCGTCTTATACGCCGAGTCGTCTTATACGCTGGAAATACTGGTAGTTTCCGGCGTATAAGATGACGTTCTAGAAATGCGGCCTGGCGATAAAGACGGGGGTCGTCTTATACGCCGGGTCGCCTTGTACGCCGGCATATACAGTATTGCTGTTTCTTCTAGAATGTGATGTCACAAAGCCTTTTCCCCAAGATTTGGTTGAATTTCCACCAATCGGTAAACTGGAGCAGAAAGACCCCAATTGGAAAAGCATAATTTTCAGAAAAGAATGATCAAGGCTTTCTGAATGGCTCTGGAGATATTTGCCTGCATGTATGAATCCCAAAACTGTGATGGTGGAATACATGTTACCTCTCTCAATTTTAAGCTGACCTGAGCAGGCTCAACCTGGCCATAAGACTTTTGCCAATCACCTACATTATGACTCCCATATTGTGGATGGTTAGATAAAATAGGAGAAAGCAAGAGGAGGACAAATTTATCCATGTCTTCGTAAAAGAAAAGCCCAGGACGATCTCCAAATAAGCATGCTGCAGCTTAACTATATTGTAATGTTTATTAAGGATTCTGCGTTTGAACTCTGATTCTGATCTTTGTGTAGACATGCCAACACTTTGCATGTTCTTGAAAAGCAACTTCCCACTTCTGACAAGCTTTTATAAAATATACTTCCCAGTGTGTATTATTAAAATTACATTGAAAATTAATGTAACCAAAATTTCACTGAGAACAAGCACTAAACATGTTTATATATTCCTTTTGGAAGAGATAAATAAGGTTAATCATAATTAATCTTTTTTTTAAAAAAAGAGTTCCAATGTTATTCTAGAAACTGATAAAAAAAGAAGGAGGAGGAGGAGGAGGAGGAGGAGGAGGAGGAGGAGGAGGAGGAGGAGGAGGAGGAAAAGGGGAAGGAAAGATCTTGCCCTGGGACAAAAACAAAAGAAAACACAGATATTGCAATAGATAAGATGAACACATGGTGAATCTTTCTTCACTTATTAATTTCCCAAAGTTTGTTAATTTCCAGTAGGTTTGAGAAAGTGTTGATTTTCAGTAGGTTTAGAGAAAGCTGACTAGACCTGACTCTCGGTCTATCTAACCCAACTTTTCAGAATCTGGATAGATCCCCAAAGGTATGGACTTCACCTCCCAGAGTGTTCAGAAGTAACCATGTTGGCTTTGGGAATTCTAAGAGGTTGCCTCTCAGTTAATCTGGTTGCAGTCCCCAGGGCAACAAGCTGAAACATTACCTGGAAAAATCCCAGTTCCACTTTTTCTTCCTCTCACATCTGTGTTAATTACAGCAAATTAACCCTGACTGATGAATATTCAACACTTGGTAGGATTAGTTAAAATGTGTAACTTGGCCAAACATTAAGCAGACATTGCTTTTTGTCGCAAGGCATGGCTGGGTGATTCTTTGCTTTCTACTGATTGCTTCTTGTCTCTTCTTGTATGCCTTGGTAATGTACTCATTTAACAAAACCCATCCATCTTTATGGTTAAAGTTGTTTTTCCTTTTTTCTAAATACCATCCCAAGGATCAAAATCAGCTTATGGCATGAACTGGAAGGCTCAGGGGTGTAATAGGAAGCAGTGATTTGGAAATTTGACAGAAACCAAGATTGAATATAAATATTTAGGCATCAGAGGGGGAAAAAAGTGTGGTGGTAGTGTTGAGGAACGCAGCCGATATTACGTCCAGTGATCTCAGCCACAGTGTGACTTGAATTGTGAGCACTGTAGGGCCTTTGAAAGGTCATGGTTATTTAAGAACAGACAAGAAGCTTGCCTGTCTGCTGCTTCTTCTTCTTCTTCTTTTCCTCTCCAGCATTTCTGTTTGGGGAATGCTATTTTCTGTTTTTGTAATTGGAATCTCTGAATTGCAGTTTTCAATTTGGCACAATATGTCACTAAAAAACCACCTAGATGATCCAGACTTGTTTTTCCTTTTCCTTTTAAAAAATACTTGCTTATAATGGGGTATATATTACCATTCCTGCTAAACCCTCTGGAATCCTGCTCCCATCAAGGACTGGCAGATGGAATCCTGCGTGCCATTGTATAAACTTGCCTGCTTGAATATACATGAGAGACGTGGATTTCCTCAGTAATTATCATCCTTTTCTGTTGTCTAGAAAAGGCTTATTTAAGATGCTTGTCAAATACTGTCCCTTGCCAAAGCATTTACTCTTTAAGTTAATGGCCCATTTGTTGCTTTGAAGTGATAAACTCTGGCAGTCTAGACTCTTTCATCTTATAAGAACTTCAGTTGGGGAATCTTTTCACCATATTGTTTCACTTCAAAAGAAATACTGACCGACTGTAGGAGGCCTGTTAACATTGGCTGATGCTAAATTAGCATGAGAAATTAATTCAGCCTCTGGGAAGCTGATTGGTTTAGAGCTTTTGCTTTAAATTTATTTCACATCCTTTCCTCTGTTTCTTTCCTTTTTTAAAAAAAACAAAATAAAGTGACTTCTGTGGAAGGAGATGAAGCACATTTGAGAAAGTATTTGAATAAAGTGATGAAATTGAAGGATGTGAGGCTATCTCACTCTGCAGTGATTGGCACTTCACAGCTATATATTGCAGTCAACTGACATATTAAGTTCTGCAGTCATTTTCTTTGTTCTTTCTCATGTGGCCTTAGTTAAGATTGTCCTATGGTATCACCTTGTTATGCAGCCAGTCAGAATTGGCTATAGACAATTGACTGGAAGGATAACCATTTGTAGCCTGCAAAACTTTATTTTAATGCTCACAGAAGGATATTACAAAGATGGGGCCATGTCTGCTTTGTGCAAATATTGTAACCAGAATGTGCCTTTGACTAGGATGCTAGGTTGCCTAAATGTTTTTGTGTGAAGTGGGATTGCAGAGGGAACTCTTTATCTGATAACTTATTTCCAGCCTGTTGTCAAGTATGGTGGTGAGGTCAGAGATGCTGCTTTATGAGGAATAGCTTGGGGTTGTGATAACCAGTAAGGCCTTAACAGAGGGAACATGCGTGTAAGGTAACGGTAGGCATATGGGCAGGAGAGTCTCTTTCTCCCCACCATTGTGGTTTCTTTTTTTGGCACCAGACCAAGAAGATAAAATTCTGGATGGGATTGAAAAATTGTGGCAATCCTCAACCGAAGACAGAAATCTTAAAAGGTATAATCCTGGCTCACACTGTACCTGTTTAGTCACCTCCGGTTACATCTGCATAGATTGCAGGGAATCAACCATAAGCTAATATACAAAGAGAGACTCTCTCTATAGCTCAGGCATGCAATTATATTCTTGAGTTAGGCGCCTGAGAAATATTACAAAGATATAATCTTCCCATATTGGGTAATTAAAAAGAGCGCTCAAACCACCAGCGCGCCCATCAAGTTACATCTTGCCAAGAGAAAGAAACAAGTGCAACACTTCTGAGATCCCCTTCATTTCAAATAACTTGCAGTGATCATGAGGATGTAGTAATTAATGATGAGAAGATAAAGGGATATTGTCTGTTAAACATTAATTCAAAATAATTAAAAGCTCTTTACCAGCCTCCACGTGTGGAGTATGTCTGCCAATCCCCACTGAGGATGCTGTGCACCTATGGCGACTGCAAGGAGTCTCAATTTTGGCCATGCAGTCTGGGTGGCTTAGCAGAGAGCTCTGAGAAGTTGAGGCTCAGTTTGAACTCTTCTCTGGTGAAGCAGACAACCTTGCTAGAAATGGCTTGGAGCAAGTAGGGTTTGGATTGTTTTTATCTTTATTCTTTATTACTATTTTAATGAATACGTCCCTTCAACCCATCCCACTGCCACCGGGCACTAACTCTTTAAAGAAAGGACCTCTTCCTTAAGCTCTTATCTAATTTTTCTAATCTGTTGGTTTGAAGTTTCTCTTGTTTTGGGAAAGGGCTCTGGAGAAAACTATGGAAATGTGGAAGTTCCTAAGAGGAAGAAAGGAGAATGCTCCAAGAATGTCTGAGAAGCAGTCTGAAGATTCAAGGTGCCATCACCTATGATGGACCAAGACTTTTTAGCCCTTAAAGGAGATTATCAGGGCATCTTCTATATACCACTCTGGCTTCTAATTTGGAAGATTGGACATATGGGGAAGACGCTCTGTGTGTGGCTCTCATCCTTGAAGAGGAAAACTCTTGCATCTGCTGGTCTAGGTACATGATTGCAAAGATGAACTGCCTCTTTGTGGAAAAACAAGAGTCCATTATGTTGCAGAACTGATAATATTTCTTGTGCTTTCATGGATTCTAGGTTACTTCCTCAGTTGTGTAGCCAGGTTCTTTCTTCAACTGGAAGTATGCCTATTTCAGCCTATTCTAACCTGGACTTGCTGGCTCCTATAATATCTCAGGCAGCAGGAGGTCCAGCCCTTGGGAGGACACCACTATGAATAGATCCAAAGACCATAAACTGTAGTAAAAATCATGGATGTTTTCTTTTTTTAATTTCTGGGAGTTTTTTTCCCCTTCTGTTCAATTGTGTCCAATTGTCAGAGACTGCGTGGACAGGTTTCTGCAGTTTTCTTGGCAAGGTTTTTCAAAAGTGGGTTTGCCATTGTTTCTTTCCTAGGGTTGACAGAAAACGACTAGCTCAAGATCACCAGCTGGCTTTGTGCTTAAGGCAGGACTAGACCTCACAGTCTCCTAGTTTCTAGGCCAGTGTCTTAACCACTACACCAAACTGCTCTCTCACCAAACTAATACTACTTTCTAACACTAATAATAATACTCTCTAATACTAATATGGTATAGTGGTTAAAGTGTTGGGCTAGGAATAGGGAAATTCAAGTTCTTGTCTCAGCCATGGAAAATCATTGGACAGTCATTTTCTAAGCCCAATCCACCACAGGATTGTTGTGGAAAAAACTGGAGAAGGGAGCATTATGTTCACTATCTAGAGCTCCTGAAGGGAAGGCAAAGTATAAATCTAAGGACTGAGTAAATAAGTAAATATAGACAAATGAATAGGAACAGGTCATAGCAAATGGCAATGAGTAACTGACCTTGACTGATCTCATAAAATCCAAGCTTAGTTAAATCTGGTTAATATTTGGATGGGAGACCATTGAGAAATCCCAACATTATAGACTAGCCTGAGAAAGTGGGGGGAAAGTCAGTTTGGAATAAGGGATCATTAAACCATTTCTGTCTTGTTGCCAAGAAAACTACACAATTCCTGCAATCAGGAATCAAGCTCAATATGGGAGACTTCATTAATAATATCAAAATATTACAACATTTCACAACAGTAGCTGCCAGTGAATTGTACTACTTTGCTAGCTAAATTATGCTAATGAAGATGATCATGCTAAGTAAGAAAAATCCAAGTTTAAGTTTGATTTGAATAGAATCTAATATTCTTATTATAGTCAATTCAAAATTATTTTGCTAAAGCTTGGGCCAGAGATATTTTTATTGGAAACAGGCAATGTACGGCTTAGTAGCAAACTAGAACTTGCTAGTGCAGGGGTCCCCAACCCCCGGGCTATGGACCAGTACCGGGCCGTGGCATGCCAGCAACCGGTCTGTACAAACAAGCAAAGTCCCATCCATGGGATGTAGGTGGCATAGAAAAAAATGAACTCTCCGGTCTGTGCAAAAAACTTTCTCCACGGAACCGGTGCCTGGTGCCCAAAAGGTTGAGGGCCTCTGTGCTATTGGTTCCTGGTTAATATGAAAAGTGCAGTCATTTAAAACTGATCTGCTTGTTTGACACAGACAATTAAAAGATATGTGGTTGTATTCCTGACATCTTGAATTTTATACCACTGTAAAGACTGCCTTTTCAACTTGCCAATTGATCGACATCAGGAATCTCTGTCTCTGTATCATGAAGGCTTTGTAGAACGTAGTATGTGTTTTGAAAATCAAGACACAATTGCTTTGAGGTGCTACAGAAGTAACGAATCTGTTTCTTATATATACTCATCTGTGAGTAAGAGTGGAACGAAGAACTGTTTTTAGATATCTTTTTTGCTCTTTTATACCCACTTCCTCTTTCATGTCTCATACTTCTGTCAACTTTCTTTCATGGTACTTTGTGGACTTTTCTCCTTCCTTAAGCCAAGATTGTCTCTTTATTCTTCTTTTTTTTTTTTTGCCTTTTCCAAACTGACCTTTTATTCCAGCTCAGGTGGCAACCTTCTCCTGTCTCAGCTCTTTGTCTTCACTTTTTTTTCCCTCATTTATCATGTCTAAGATGTTTCAGGCCAAGAAGATATTAAAATTCGAAAGAGTGTAGGCCACGTTAAGATCTTCTGTGGAGCTCCTTTCCTATTCCTTCACTCCATAAGGAGAGGCATTTGGTGCTGGCGCCTTGTTGGAGAATACCCACAGAAAATAACTTGCATCATCTTGAAGGTCATCTTGGCACCTGATAAAAAGCTTACAGTATTGTTTTCCATGGTTTTTAACATGAACAGCTTTCTCTACATGGTTTCTTTTATGAGCCGTGGTGGCGCAGTAGTTAAATACAGTACTGCAGGCTGCTTCTGCTGACTCCCAGCTGCCAGCAGTTTGGCAGTTTGAGTCTCATTGGCTCAAGGTTGACTCAGCCTTCCATCCTTCCGAGGTCGATAAAATGAGGAGCCGCTCAGAGAGGGCTGTAAAGCACTGTGAAATGGTATATACAGTAAGTCTAAGCGCTATTGCTATTTTAAAGATCTGTACATTTTGCAATAGTTTTCCATATGCTGCTGCTACTATTACTGAAAACGTTATATTTCTTTTATCCCAAATGACTTTTGTAGTTGTTGTTTCATTTACATTTTATTCAGCTGGCTCAAGAGCTTTTGTTCATGAGTGGTACATCAATTATTTCAAATAAATAAGTAAATAAAGGAATTAACCAAGACCAGATTTTAAAAATACTAAGTTGCCTTATGGTAATTTAGCCCATTTGTCTAGCTTAATACTGTTGACCCCTTAGTGGACTCAAGCGGTGGGCCTAGTTAAAAACGGATTTGGGGGGATGTTGATTTTGATTAGGAGTCCTTGGAGAGAAAATGGAAGGATAATCCTCCACTATCCACCCATCTGCATCTTCTTGTAATGGAAGAATTCTGGTTGAAATTTCAGATTCTTATTAATGATGAAAAAGTAGTTATTTAAAGAATAAATCGTAGTTTGGAAAAATGATTGGCATTTTGTTCTTGTGTATATAATGGCAACAAGATGTCTGTATGCCCAACGTTGGAAAGGTTCGTGGTAAAGGTGATTTTGCTGCCTGGGATGACGAAACTCACCTGATTAAAAAAAAGACATTGGATAAATTTAATATCAACTGGAAGTCTCTTTTGCACATTTTTGCCAAACGTGAACAAAATGAATCACGACATAAGGATTTTATTAGTAATATTTATAGATTAACTTTAAAAAATGGAGATTGCTTTATAATTGTAAACCAAGAGCTGGAACTCTTTTTATTTATATCTGCTGTAAAAGAAGTCAGTAGTCATTTTTTTCTTTTAGTTTCTATGTCATTTATTTTATTGCACATCTATCCACTAATTCTATATTAGGATTTTCTATTCTCTCTCTTAGCTTTTCTGTTATGTAGTTTTTATTTTTTATTTTAAAATATTTTTTATTTAATTTTATTTTTTTAAAAAATAAGGAAGTTATATTTAAAAAATAAATCACAATTTGGGGAATTAGCAGATGATTCTGGACTAAAATTATGAAAAAAAATTTTTTTTTACAAAAATAAATCAATAATAAAGATGGTTCCTGGGTTGAGATGGCTTTTACAACAGATCAGCTTCTTTATTATCTCTCTAAGGTCTGATCTGGTCATTCTTTATAAACACCACTAGACAGACTCCCATTTTAAAAAATGATTTGGGAAGGATATAATGAGAAAACTGAATGTTCTTCTGATACATAGAATCAGATGGTATGTGGCTGCCATTCCTTGCCTGTTTTATGATAAATCAGGTGGGCCAAAGCAGGGTTTGTGACCTTTGGTGTTTAATGTTTTGAAGAGGGCTGAGGCCAGAATTTGTGGAATGTTGCTTCAAAAGTGGGAAACACTAGATTTTTCATTCTCTTGGGTTTTTAATGGGGGTTCTTTTAAGGACTGGAACTACAAAATTTGCTCATTTGCAATTTCAGAATGCAGGGGAACAGAAACAGATTTATGGGGCAGCCCTGGAGGTGACAGAAGTAGTTCAGAAGCTGCAGATTATTTGCCAGGGATGCTAAATATTATCTGTTTTCTGCTCAAAAGTTAAAGTGGCTGAGAGTTAAGTACTAGTGCCAGGATCCAATCAATTCAGTTTGATAAAAGTGGGTCTATGTGCTTTCCAAAGCCCATCAAATATCCAAACTAATTCAAATATACTTGGTTTTATTAAACATGGTTCAGTAATTCAGTCTGAAGGAATTTAAATTGAAGGAGTGATTCAATCTGATCAACTGGAGTGAAACTTTAAAATTGCTTTACTGTGCATCCATACTAAATCACATTGTTTCAAGATTTATCTGGACTACGAGAACCCTTTTCTATCTTTACTTCTGTGTTTGACTTTCTTAAGAATATACCCAGTGGCTCTGAAAGACCATGAGAATTTACCATATTTCTGATTATATACAATTATTTTATATTACATTTACTTATGCTACAATTTAATGTGACAACTTCATTTTTTTTAAAAAAAATTGATTCATTGTCTTAAATAGCCAAACAGGGGAAGAGGTGAAACTGAAAGCAAATGAGATGCTTTCAGTTTGTTGTGTACCCCAACCAAATGTTGACTCCAGACTTTCCAACTGTGTTGGAAGAACTGGAGGAAAAATTGATGCCCTTGATAAATATGAGATTCAGTTCTCTTTGGTGTACCAAATAATGTTTCCTGGGCACTCTGACTCTCATCTAATTTTTTAAAATTTCTCTGTATGAGTGGGTGAGATTACTTAATCCATTCTTACAAGTGGCAAGAATGCTTGTGATTAAGTTGATAGCTTTCAATCAGTGGTGATTATCATATAATAAATACTTCACTACTTACCTACCTACCTACCAAAAAAAATCCTTCATATATGTCAGATGTATACTTTTTTCCAAATCTAAAATAATGAAATGTATTAAGACTAAGATATTTTAACCTGATATTAAGCTCACTGTAAGTATAAATTTGTCATGTGAATTAGTCAAT